CGACTGACAGTGGTCAGTCGGCTGCCTCCGGGTATCGCGTCTGAGGGATTTTATTTGTCGGATTTACTGGCAGAAGGTAAAAAGTGCCTCCTGACCCTTAGGCTGCTTGTCTGCGCGGCTTCGCGCTTGGGCTGGCGATGCCGCGTCTGGGTGCCAGCAGTGCTGGTCTTTTCGGGCTTGTGTTTTGTGTGTGTTTGTGCAGGTTCTCGCTGTGGACTGTGTGCCTGCCGGTTCAGCTTGTTCCTGCTTTGTTTTGCTTGAGGCACTTTTTACCTTCTGCCAGTAAATCCTATGTCCACCCTTACATTGGTAGCTCTGCCGACCTGACCAAGTGGGGGGAGGTCAACCTCGACGCCCTCCATGTTGCAGCGTCTGAGAAGATTCGCAAACATCGCGCTGCATATGCCATGACTACTCCTCCTCGAGCGTTCATCCCTCTTGTTCCTGCTTTGTTTTGCTTGAGGCACTTTTTACCTTCTGCCAGTAAATCCTATGCTCTTGCCATCTCGACGGACGGTACCCTGCATCCTGACACCCTCCGCTTCATCTGGTATCTGGCGGACATCATTGCTCAGCGCTCAATGCCTCTTGAGGATGCGGCGTTTGGTCGGCACTTCGTGCCTGATGACGGACCTGCTGCTGAGGTTTTTTGCGCGGCTTCGCGCTCTGGTTGGCGATGCCGCGTCTGGGTGCCAGCAGTGCTGGTTCTTTTCGGGCTTGTGTTTTGTGTGTGATTGTGCAGCTTCTCGCTGTGGACTGTGTACCTGCCGGTTCAGCTTGTTCCTGCTTTGTTTTGCTTGAGGCACTTTTTATCTTCTGCCAGTAAATCCTATGGTGTCTTGGCTCGCAAACGCGCCGCCACCTATCAGCGCCTCACTATGCAGCTGACGCTGGAAGCGCTCTTGTCTGGTGCGAGGCGCATGACGCCCTTGCGGGCGCAAGCACTTCTCGAGCCAGAGGACAGCTCCTCCTCGGACTTTGTCGAGTCGCCCGAGGAGTCTTCGCCAAAGGTCTCTTTTGTCCGATAGATATAGGATTTACTGGCAGAAGATAAAAAGTGCCTCAAGCAAAACAAAGCAGGAACAAGCTGCCGATGGGGGACACCCTTCGAGTGACATAGGATTTACTGGCAGAAGGTAAAAAGTGCCTCAAGCAAAACAAAGCAGGAACAAGATGAACCGGCAGGCACACAGTCCACAGCGAGAAGCTGCACAAACACACAAAACACAAGCCCGAAAAGAACCAGCACTGCTGGCACCCAGACGCGGCATCGCCAGCCCAAGCGCGAAGCCGCGCAGACAAGCAGCCTAAGGGTCAGGCAATCAAGCAACAAGCAGCAGGAGCATGCAGGAGGAAGAGTGGCCCCGACGATCGGCGCGGAGCTGGCGAGGCGTCTCCGTCCCTCACTGTGACGTCGGTGCCTCCGGAGAGCTCGACACCACTGGGGTGCTTGCTGCTGGTCCGAGCTCGCCTGCTTCCTCCCCGGCATCGGTCGGGTCACGCCGGTCCTTGGGCATTGCCGCGGCGTCGCCGCCGTCACGGGCGGCTACCGCTGACTCGGCTACCGCTGACTCGGAGGCTAGCGAGGAGGACTTGAAGGCATAGGATTTACTGGCAGAAGGTAAAAAGTGCCTCAAGCAAAACAAAGCGTCAGGCAATCAAGCACCCTCCTGGCACACAGCGCACAGCGAGAAGCTGCACAAACACACACAAAACACAAGCCCGAAAACAACCAGCACTGCTGGCAACCGTCAGCAGACCCGGCATCGCCAGCCCAAGCGCGAAGCCGCGCAGACAAGCAGCCGAAGGGTCAAGCAATCAAGCAACAAGCAGCAGGAGCATGCAGGAGGAATAAAATCCCTCGACGGCAGGTACCCTCCCATCCTCATGGCCGCAAGATGACCAGACGCGGCATCGCCAGCCCAAGCGCGAAGCCCGCCGCGCAGACAAGCAGCCTAAGGGTCAAGCAATCAAGCAACAAGCAGCAGGAGCATGCAGGAGGAAGAAAATCCCTTAGACGCGATACCCGGAAGCAGCCGACTGACCACTGTGCGGTCGCGGACGGAGAAAGGGCAGCCGCCGACAACTTGCAAGGAGCCGGCGCTGCCCGGGGGTCCGCCTGGGGCAGCGGACGGAGGGAGGCTGGACACAGGAGCACGGTACCGCTCGAGGTAGTCCTCCTCGCTAGCCTCCGAGTCAGCGGTAGCCGAGTCAGCGGTAGCCGAGTCAGCGGTAGCCGAGTCAGCGGTAGCCGCCCGTGACGGCGGCGGCGACGCCGCAGCAATGCCCAAGGACCGGCGTGACCCGACTGATGCCGGGGAGGAAGCAGGCGAGCTCGGACCAGCAGCAAGCACCCCAGTGGTGTCGAGCTCTCCGGAGGCACCCGACGTCACAGTGAGGGACGGAGACGCCTCGCCAGCTCCGCGCCGATCGTCGGCGCCACTCTGGATGTTTCCCCCATCGGAGTCGGAGACCTCCGGCGAAGACTCCTCCTCGGGCGACTCGACAAAGTCCGAGGAGGAGCTGTCCTCTGGCTCGAGAAGTGCTTGCGCCCGCAAGGGCGTCATGCGCCTCGCACCAGACAAGAGCGCCTCCAGCGTC